CTCCTGCCTGAGTTCAACTGCTGCGTTTAACTGCTTCTTCTATGCACATCCAATTCTAAGCGCACTCAATCTGAAGCCGCACCCCCATCAGAGACTGTGCCCCCCATCAAGAGATCTCCCCCATGAGCTGATTCTAAATTTAATAGGGAGATGCTCAAATGAGCATTCAACTCCACCCCAATTAGAAGCTGATAAGGATCACATGAGTAGTGAGGGATGTTTCTCTCAGGAAACAGACACCAGTCGTTTTTTAAAACGGGTGCAGCTAAAGGTGAGAGCTGGTTAACATATACACAAATATAAATACACCATTTGTTCTGAATATAGCAGGAAGTCAATGGCGTTTTGGTATATATAAACTATGGTATATATACTGGAATTTTTTTATTTTTTTATACTAGTAATGGCGGTGATCAGTGACTTATAGTGGGACTGTGATAGTGTGGAGGGCAATCTGACACTAAAACTGACACTTTGTGGGAAACTGACTAACTGCCGCTGATATCTCCAGTGACACTAAATACAGTGATCAGTGTAAATAATACAGTATAAGCTGTCACTGTATTAATGACACTGGCTTTTTTTTGGAAAGCGGTTAAAATATTTAGAGGCAATCAAAGGGTTAAACTGGGTGCCTAGCAATGTTTATTGTGCTTACTGTGTGGTGCTTTTGCTGAGCAATGTGCTGGTTTTTTTATTCCCTACTTTGTAGGGGAAAAAAAACAGTGCAAGTCACCGCTGTCTGTAGAGAGCTCTGTGTTGTTTACCAACACAGAGCTCTCTTCTGTCATTTGCTCTACCAGTCAGCAGGTCTTGGCCATTAATGGCCAGGATCGATAATTGGCTTGTGCTGTAGCGAATGACAGCACAGCCGGGGTGGCGGGCACGCACATGTGCCCCCTACCGGGAGATGATGGATCACATACATGCAGGGCCCCACACTGTCAACATTTACTGCATGTACAGTGCGCAGTTCGCAACTGGTTAATCTCATACACGTATCCGGCACCTGCTTTTCCTAATCCCAGATTTGTTTCATAGAAACCTAAACACAGAGATAACAGAAGCTCACATTGCAGACAGTTCCTTCTAAATGTATTTATTTATTTCAGGTTACTTATATTAGTGCTGTCAATTTATCCAGTGCTTTACCATATATATTGAACATTCCACAATCAGTCCCTAACCCTCAAGGGGCGTACAATCTAAGGTCCCTAACTCACATTCATACATACACATATTAGGGCCAATTTAGACAGGAGCCAATTAACCTACAGCAATGTCTTTGGAGTGTGGGAGGAAAACCACGCAGGCACAGGGAGAACATTGCAAACTCCAGGCAGGTGGTGCCATGGTTGGGATTCAAACCAATGACCCCTAGTGTGCTGCTGGGTGGAAGTGCTAACCATTTAGCCACCGTGCAGCCTGAAAATGCATGTTGCCTGGCTCTCATTTTGACCCACTGGCTTCCTTACTTTCTAAGCGTCTGTTAACCTGGAATGAGTATGCCATTCAGAAGCTCTGACTGCTCTCTGACTCTCCAATGCTTGTTCTACAGGTCAGTGGTAGAGCAAGCTGGAAACCACCCAAGGAACTAGTCTTCTTAGGAGGAGGCCAGCGATAGCAGCCCCCTTATTTTTCTCCATGCAGATGCCCCTTTCAGAGCCAGAAATAAAGGAACACAGGACAGCAGTGTCTGTTCTCATTGTACTACAATGAATCTGCTAGGAGATTAGAGAATGAGAACATTCAAAGCCAGTATTTAAAGAAAGGTCATCTAGTGATGTTTTCTTGTGAAAACATACAGGGCTTATCAGGGGCGGACTGACAACTAATGGGTCCCCCCCCCGGGCAATAGGGGATCATGGAGGCCCCTGTGTCCTTGCCCAAACTCAAAAAAAGCCTATGAAAAATGTACCAGGGGGCATCTCATGGGTCCCTTACTGACCCCCGGGCCCTTGAAGCAGAGCCCGAGTTTCCAAATGGTCAGTCCGCCCCTGGGGCTTATGAATACTGGGGGAAGGTTGAAGTCTAACTCCAAGTTTCATTACACTTTAATAGTTTGGGTCAAGCTGGTCCAAATAAGCCATTTCCGTCTCTAGGGCTCCATTTACACCTATGCAGTTTGCGTTTTGTCCATTTTGCAGTGCTTTTCACAGTTAGTTTTTACGGTTTTCTACACGCATTTTTGCCACATTTTTTGTTCAGCTAGTTTTTTTTTTTTTTTAAAGTGGAATTTTTTTTTTGCTGGGCAGAATAAAAATGCAAAATGCAAAACACGGCAAAATCGCAGAAAAAATGCACTACCATGCATTTCAGCAGATTCTCCATTGAACTCTATTGTAGCAAAAATAATGCTGCATTTTTGATTTTAAAAAAGTCCCTGACCCTTTCCATAAATGCAGCAGCTCATAAAAGCATAGATGTGAACATGTTTCCATAGGAAACCATGTTAAATGGACTGCAGTGCATTTCTGCAAAAAGCACTAAACAAAGCATAGGTGTGAACAGAGCCTAAGGGCTCATGTACACGGGGCGTTTCGAAAACTCTTGTGCATGATGCAAACTGACTGCTTTAAAACTTAGGTTCAAAAACATCAATTTAACCGAGTTTACATACCGCGTTTATGTGTGTTTGCGTTTTAGAAAGCGTTTTTAAAAGATAACCTCAGGAGACCTTCCAAAATGCCCAGAATGCACTGAAAAATAGTAAAACATTAATTATTTCAGACATTTTGAGAGAAATAGAGAGAGCAGAAGCAGAGAGAGCAGTATGTGTTGAGATGACCCGTCTTTTTCTGGTTGTATTCACTATGGATCCCATCATGAGCATAATGCGGCACGTTCTACAATTTTTTCCTTCATACAAAACCTGGAACTGACTGCGCTGGTGTACCGGGTCCATTTGAATACATGGAAAACGCTTTGCATGCATTTTTGATGATGAAAAAAGGCTCTGGACAGCATCTGGACATGGAATAGTTAACAGTGTAAACGTGGTTAACCGTGTTTATAAGCATTTACAAGTGTTTTGGCGTTTGAGGGTTCATGTACTGCAGCTGATAAACTTACATTCCGGAGCTTTTCCGCGTTTTTTTTTTCAGCAGCCCCTGAACTCTCCCTAATGTTTTCCTATGTGTCCATGTACACTGTGTCGTTTACAGATGTTTACAGGCAGTTGCGTTTACAGTGGTTTTTTTGAATGCACCAAACTTGAGTTCAGGAGTAGATTTTATCAGCGTCTCAAATGCCAAATGCTTGTAAACGCGGCTAACCACGTTTATAAGCGTTTGCGCTTAGAAGTGTTTTTAACTGTTCCATATCCAGATGCTGTCCAGAGCCTTTTTTCGTCATCAGAAAAGCATGTAAAGTGTTTTCTATGTATAAATAATGGGCCCAGTACACCAGCGCAGTCAGTTCCAGGTTTTGCATGAAGGAAAAAAAATTGCAGAACGTGCCATATTATGGTCATGATGGGGTTCATAGTGAATACAACCAGAAAAGACAGGTCATCTCAACAAATACTGTTCTCTCTGCTTCTGCTCTATTTCTCTCAAAACGTCTGAAATTGTTAATTTTTTACTGTTTTTCAGTGCATTCTGGGCATTTTGGAAGGTCTTCTGAGGTTATCTTAAAAAAAACACTAATAATAAGAGTATAAACGCGCATAAAATGTGGTATGCAAATGTGGCTAAACAGACGTTTTTAACCTATGTTTTCCAGCAGTCAGTTTTCCATCATTCAGAAGAGTTTTCCAAACGTCCCGTGTACATGGAGCCTGAAACGCAGGTAAAATCTACTCCTGAACACAAGTTTGGTGCGTTCAAAAAAACCGACTGTAAACTCAACTGCCTGTAAACGACTTTAAAACAATTATGTGTACATGGACACATAGGAAAACATTAGGGAGAGTTCAGAGGTTGCTGAAAAAAATGCTGAACAGCTCCTGAACATGAGTTTAGGAGCTGCAGTGTACATGAGCTCTAATACAGGCTCCCGCTGTCAGCACTGTATAACATGTATGTGGCATCAGCAGCAGTACAGAGACTTCCCGTCCTGCTCCCAAAACAAAATCGTATTCATTTGGGCGCTGCTCAGCCATTCACAGGAAGCTTTTTATTTTATGAATGAATACAAGGCTTCCTCTGATTGTCAACTGTCAGGATTTCATAAAATTTGAAAGCTGATTGGCTGTGCTACAGTTGACACAAAGTTGAGACAAAGTTTGTCCCAGGCACTTTTTAATACTTTTAAAATCTTGCTAACAAAATCCTGGATATCAGTAAACATCTGATAGGAGTATGACCTTTCCCTCTTCTTTCCAAAACAAACAAAAAAAATGTTTTGCTTCGAAACATACTTTATTTTATTGAAATTAGTTCACGAAAAATGGAATAGTTGCATTTACTTTTTGTAGCATATGGCTTTGAGATAATCTATGCTTAAAAGTCAATCCATAAATATCATTGCACAAACTGTCACGCTTCAACCAGTTGTGAACCTTGGGCAAACTATACATATCCAAAGAAAGTACACGGGGCATATCTGTCACCACCCCCCCCCCCCCATCTCCCTCCTTGCATTTGACAGCAATTGCTGGCTGTCAAAATGACAGCTGAGAGTTGCTGTGTAAATACAGAAGCTATTCCAGCAGCTGCTGTCATTAACCGCCTCCTGCACGCCCTATAAAGAAATGATGGATGGGCAGCAGTTCTCTCATTCTGGGAGGACATCATATGACATCCTCCCACTTGAGCTGCGCATGCGCGCTCCTAGGGGCACGGTGGCGAATGGTGGTGTGCTGTGTCTCTGGGACAGCAGATCACTGATCGCAGTAAAGAGCTGATGATGTAGGCTCTATCATGTGATCAGTTGTGTCCAATCACAGATGATCACATGCAAACAGGAATTGTCGGATATCAGCAGTCTTCTCCTCATGCTGACAGCGCGAGAAGAGAGCCGGTAATCGGCATTCCTCAGAGGGAACATGTACACTGATCATCAATGATCTGTTGATCAGTGTACCACCATTAGTGCCACCTTTCAGAGCCCATAATTGCCACCTGTCAATGCCACATATCAGTGCCCATCAGAGCTGCCTTTCAATGCTGCCTATCAGTGCCAGTCAGTGCCGCCTATCAGTGCCAGTCAGTGCCACCTATCAGTGCCAGTCAGTGCCACCTATCAGTGCTGCCAATCAGTGCCAGTCAGTCCCTTTATCTGTGCTCCCTAACAGTTCCTAACAGTTCCAATCAGTGCCGCCTATCAGTGCCAGTCAATGCCGTCTATCAGTGCCACCTATCAGTGCCCATCAGTGCTGCCTATCAGTGTCATATATGAGTGCTGCCTTTCAGTGCCCATCAGTGATGCCTGTCAATGCTCATCAGTGCCTCCTATCAATACCCATCACTGCAGCCTCATTAGCGCACATCAGTGAAGGAGAAAAATTACTTATTTACAACATTTTATAACAGAAACTAAAAAAAAAAGTTTTGGTAATTTTCAAAATTTTCAGCGTTTTTTAGTTTGTTTAGCAAAAAATAAAAATCCCAGTGGTGATTAAATACTACCAAAAGAAAGCTCTATCTGTCTCAAAATGACCGCGCAATTGTCATTCAAAGTGCAACAGCGCTGACAGCTGAAAATTGGCCTGGGCAGGAAGGGTTAAAAGTGCCCGACATGGAAGTGTTTAAAGGGACTCTCTGACACAGACAAAGAGCAGAGATACAAAGTAACATATTCATTTTGTATTTACTCAGCTCTGCAGATCAAAGGGATGAGCTTTTGGCTGCACATGACATCAGAGTAAACAAACTTACAAGTAAAAATAAAGTTTGATCTTTTTTGTAGTTACATGTAACCCTTTATAAACCCTTAAACTGACCATAATTTATGATACCCCAGCTTGAATATTGATTGATTCCTGCTGAATTAGAGCTGTGGGTAGCCCAGATGGTAACACCTGGCTCAACTAACTTCAACTGAAAGGAGCTGGATGGAAAAATTGTTGGCGAACAGTGACTGCATCCAATTAGATGCAGTCACTGCATATGTATTCAGAGAGCCCCAAAATGAGATTTTGACTGAAGCTAGCATTGTAGGTTATTACCTTTTTTTTTTAGATCTACAAATATGCTAGCAAGTACAAATATTTCTTAAAGCAGAACTCCCGGCAATTTTTTTTTTGTTATCATTCAGTGGGTCTATGCCTCCCAGCGCAAGACAGGTCTCTTTGGCTCCTGTCTCCCCCGCGGTCCAGTAGGAGGGACAGGAACAGGGGACAGCGGAGTGAACATGAAGACATCAGGAACAGTCCACTGTTGGATGTGGGGGAGCACCATTTTCCAGAGTATAGGCGCTGTGTTTACAGCAGAAAATGAGCAATTAACCCATGCAGTGCGGGCACAGCTCCACTGCATGGGGAAAAAACATTTTTTGCCGGGGTTGGGCTTTAAGTATAGTAAGGCAACCACAGTTCTACATAAAATCACATAGATTTTAATTAGTTGTATAATAAATTCCTTTTCAAATGCAGAAAAAAAAAACCCATGGGACCACTAAATCTAAAAGAAAACTACAAAGATGAACTTATCCTTTGACTGTATCCACAGCTCGGTGGGACTGTCTCTTTAAGTTGGCTTTCACTGATGTGGATTTCTTCATAGTATAAATTCCTTCTCGACACCCTGCGGTTATATTCCTCCCTCACCTGTCCTAATCCCAAATCGCATTCACATGAATAACTTCTTCACTCTGATGGGCTTCAGCTGCCTGAAAGCACAAAACAACAAATACTGAACATCAAAGTCAGTCTGTGAAGTGTTACATAAAGACTTATAAAGGTACAATATACTACCATTCATAATCAGGGAGTATGTGTTATTATAGTCAATGGTTACCTAAAAAAAAACTATTTTTAAAAAAATTTTTTTTTGTGTCCAAATTTTTATTTGCTGACTTCCGTATACCATATATGTAGTGGTGCTCTCTAGTAGTGGCACCATTTATTGCAGGAAGTGCAGTCAGCATCCCTGTTAAACAACTGCTGCAAGAAAATCAAATGCAAGATAAGCCAGCGAAAGAGTATGTTGCTTTCAGTAAAAGCCAATTACTAAATGTCTGTTGATAGACTGAAGGTAATAGGCTCAGCCCAGCCCACAAAGCTTTAACACATTTGCTACATAAGGCCTCATGCACACAGGACGTTAATAAAAACTCTCCTAGAAGTCTTCCTCCTGGCAGCAGCGTTTTTTTGCAGAAAAAAAAACGCCTGACACTGATTAAAAGTATCTAACGCTCAGGCGCGGACTGACAACTCATGGGGCCCCCGGGCAATAGGGGATCATGGGGCCCCTGGGCAATAGGGGATCATGGGGCCCCCTGTGTCCTTGCCCAAACGCAAAAAAGCCTATGAAAAAAGGTACCAGGGGCAACTCATGGGGCCCCTACTAACCCCAGGCCCTCGGGCAGTGCCCGAGTTTCCAAATGGTCAGTCCGCCCCTGGGCCTGCCATTTCTTGACCACTGCTTTAAAAGGATTCATCACTCTCCTCTTCTATCTGATGCTCCTGGTTGTGGCAGTCCCTCACAGTCCATATGGGCTATTGGTCCTGTATCAGGGGCGGACTAACCATTCGAGCACTCGGGCACTGCCCAAGGGCCCGGGGTCAGTAGGGGGCCCCATGAGATGCCCCTGGTACCTTTCATTGGCTTTTTCATAGGCTTTTTTGGGTGTGGGCGAGGACATAGGGGCCCCATGATCCCCTAGCTTATGAAAGGTACCAGGGGCATCTCATGGGGCTCCCTAATGACCCTGGGCCCTCGGGCAGTGCCCGAGTTCCCAAATGGTCAGTCCGCCCCTGCTGATGCTTTTATAAGTTTAGGCACGTTTGCAAGCATCAAACGCTGGGGAGTTCATTCATTTCATTGACCAGAATGATAATTTATTATGGCCATTGAAATTATTTAATGATCAAGCACTAAATGTACCTATCGTTTAGGCATGTTTTGCCACGTCAAGAATTTTTTCTGCCAAAACGCTGCTGTTCCTGGACGCACTGGCCCTGGGTTTTTTTTTTCCTGCTGGTATACGCTACTGCTACTAAGACCCCAGTTGCACTGGATGCGACTTAGCATGCGATTTGCATGCCAGGCGACTTGAAAATCGTATGCCAAGTCACGCCCTATTGTCTGCAATTACAATGGTCCTATAGGTGCGGATCCGACTTGGTCGGAGCCGCACCAATTTCTAAAGTAGTGCATGCAGTACTTTTGGTGCGATTTGCATAGACATCTGTGTTAGATGTCTTGCAAATCGCACCTCAAATCGCATTGACGTCCCAACTTTGAAATGGTGCAACTTACAGTGACGTTTTCAAAGTCAGGATCGATGTGACCGGGGTGTAAAAGCTTCTAAAAGTCTGTGTGTGCATGGACACATAGGATAACATGGAGGGTTGTTTGGAACTAGTAAAAAAAAAAAAAAAATGCCTGAATACTCTAAAGGTGGCTGCAAAAAACCCCCTGTGTGCATGAGGCCTAAGTCTGAAGGAACTCTCCACTACAAGCAGCTGCTCCCCAGCACCACTTGAACCCCAGATGAGGGAGGTCAGTCATTCATAGAGAGAAAAGCCTCTGAACACCAGATCAATGATAAACGTCCATACTTACTGTACAAACCATCCACAACCATAGCAAAGGCAGTGCCCACCTTAGGACCGCCCTCTCTTACTCATGTCACCAAATCAGAGCTTACTTGGAGAGTCTTTATGACTAAACCTTGATTGCGTGAAATGCATTAGAGGGGGGGGGGGGTCCTAAGGTAGGGACTGTCTCTGCCATGATTGTTGGTGGTTTGTACAATAAATATGGATGTTTCTCTCCACGGTGTGGTGGTTTTTCTCTCTGCTACTGATTAAACTCTTTTCCGCTAACGCGTTTCACCAAATCAAAGCTTAACCACCTCCCCGCCCGACATATAAGGAAATGACAGATGCAAGGCGGTTCTCCCATTCTGGGAGGACGTCATGTTAGTCAGTGCCACCTATCAGTGCTGCCAATCAGTGCCACCTATCAGTGCCAGTCAGTGCCGCCTATCAGTGCGCATCAGTGCCGCCTATCAGTGCACATCAGTGCCACCTATCAGTGCCGCCTAACAGTGCCAGTCAGTGCCACCTAACAGTGCCAGTCAGCGTCGCCTATCAGTGCCATATATCAGTGCTGCCTTTCAGTGCCCATCAGTGATACCTGTCAATGCCCATCAGTGCCACCTACCAGTGCCTCCGCATCAGTGCCCATCAGTGCCGCCTATCAGTGCCCATCACTGGAGCCTCATCAGCGCACATCAGTGAAGGAGAAAAATCACTTATTTACAAAATAGAAACTAAGGAAAAAACTTTTTTTTTTTTCAAAATTTTCAGTTATTTTTGGTTTGTTTAGCAAAAAATAAAAAACCCCGAGGTGATTAAATACCACCAAAAAATGATTAAAATTTCATATGGGTACAGTGTTGCATGACTGTGCAATTGTCATTTAAAGTGCGACAGCGCTGAAAGCTCAAAATTGGCCTGAGCAGGAAGGGGGTAAAAGTGCCCTGTAGGCAAGGGGTTAATTGTAGGGTCTCTATGACTAAGCCCTGATTGAGTGAAATGCATTAGAAGGGGGGGGGGGTCCTAAGGTGGGGGCTGTCTTTGCCATGATTGTTGGTGGTTTGTACAATATATATGGATGTTTCGCTCCACTATGTGGTGGTTTTCTCTCTACTACTGATTAAACTCTTCCCCTCCTAACGCGTTTCACCAAATCAAAGCTTAGTTGTAGAGTCTCTATGACTAAGCCCTGATTGTGTGAAATGCATTAGAGGGAGAGGTAAGGACTGTCTTGAAATGCATTAGAGGGAGAGGTAAGGACTGTCTTGAAATGCATTAGAGGGAGAGGTAAGGACTGTCTTGAAATGCATTAGAGGGAGAGGTAAGGACTGTCTTGAAATGCATTAGAGGGAGAGGTAATGACTGTCTTGAAATGCATTAGAGGGAGAGGTCCTAAGGTAAGGACTGTCTTTGTCATGTTTGTGGATAGTTTGTAGTTTGTGGATGTTTGTGATCGATCTGGTGCGCAATGGCTTTTCTCTCTACCACTGTAATATAGTTAGGGTGAAAAAAGTCTATTGCATTCAACTAAAATACATACATTTATTCAGCCATTTGTCTATAGTTTTTATTGAGTTTTCCATAGTTTTCTGTTTTACAAGAACAGGTCTATGGGGCAAGAACAGAGTATACACATTGCTAATCACAGTTATGGTATCAGTGGCATCACTAGGGTTGGTGTCACCTGGTGTGGGTGTCACCCAAAGAGTCCTCTCAAAGCGCTGTATCAACCTCCGGTAGGGATGTTATGGT